AGAATGAGGAACTCCACTTTGAAATCAGGCAACTTAGGGCCACCATTCAAGAGCTCAGGGGTAAGAACCCCCTCTCCCCTCCTTCTCCAACCATCTCGTGCAATGGTAACTCATCATCTACAGGTGAATCAAAGGGTGTGTAATGCCCCTAATTGGGGGGTATCACAGGGTGGTGGTGAACACGTGCCACCTCAGGGTTCCAACGCCTGCCCTATAACATGCCCTTCTGAGCCCATTTTGAAATCCAATAGATTTAACGGTTTTTTGACGGTTCAGTCCAACCGCATTGTTGACTTTCCCCATTTGCCATCCATCCACTCTGCCAAACCCTCTGCAATTGCCCATACCTGCAACACTTCTCCTTCAAATCACCAATCCCTTTCACTCAATCCCATCCCACCTAACTCCTTATCCCCTTCGCATCTACCTGCTCCCATGCCCTCCTCTGATCAGTAACCTGACACCGCAAAAAGCTGGGCCTATGTTGCTCAATCCTCGAGGGAATCCTGGAATTTCGAATTCTTCAAGCTCGTCCGTGGAAGTGATGCTATCAAGCTCGACCCTCTTGACGAAGTCAGTGATGAAGGTGCCATGTTTTGGCAGACGAGTCTCATTGGTACTTTCCCATACAAGAAAATGCCATTCAATCTTGTCTCATCAATGGCGCACCGTCTGTAGGGGAAAGAGAGGACTGCGGAAGGTTATCATTAACAAGCAGGGTTCCTTCTTCTTCTGTTTCAACTCCATGGATGATTCAAAAAAAATCCTTGCTAGTGGTCCGTGGTTCATTGCAGGTAAGCCTCTCTCTCAGACCATGACATCTTGATCACGGTAAGGACAACAATGACAGGTCATCCATTTCTATCTGGATCAAAATGTTTAACGTCCCTCTTGAGCTCTAAACTCCCAAAGGCCTGAGTTATCTGGCTAGTGCTGCTGTGGGAGTTCCCAAATTTGCGGATGCTTTGACTCAGAGTAGATCAAGAATTGATTTTGCTAAGGTCTGTGTGGACATCACTCCACAATCCGCTCTCATTGACTCTTTTCAAGTGAAGACCAGAAGTGGAAATTATATTTCAATTGGGTTGAATACCCCTGGAATCCATCTTCCTTCTCTATTTGCTATTGCTTTTGTCACCCCAGCAATGCTTGTAAGCAAAACCAGCCAAATTTACCTACAATCCCTAAACCCTTGCAGCAATGTCAAATTGTCTCTATAAGTAAGCACTCTTCCCCTTCAAAATCTTTATAATCACCACCTCAGGAGCATGTACACAACATTAACCCCACCATGACTTCACCAGTTTTTGCTGCACCTCCTGAGGCCAACCCTATCACCCCCGATCCTCCCCCTCCCCCTCCCCCTCCCATGCCTTCTTCCATCCCTAGCTCCACTCCACCTCCTGTTCCCATATTTACATCCATTCCCTTTGAAGCGCTCTCCTCTGGTGCTTATGAACACTGCTCTGAGCCTGCTTTTACCATTCCTGATGCCCCAGCATGCTCAATGATACCTGCAAATGGCACTGCTTCATCACTGCTTCCACCAAGCATGTTTAGTCTATCTGTCTTAGGAGGCACAAGAGAACTCCTATTGTAACCCTTAAGGGTTTTAGAGGGTTGAAGGGCCTCTCTAAATCACAATGATTTGGGCAGCTTGGAACATTAGGGGTTTCAAATCCCCTAATAAACAAATTGAAATGAGGAATCTCATTACAGATTCCAAGTTAGATCTCATTGCAATACTCGAAACTAAAGTCAGTTCAGTCAATATGGAGGCCATCCAGAAATTCATTGCTCACACTTGGCAGTGCTGTTGTAACTCCTCCTGTGATGGGTTGGGTATGGTTAATGGTTGCTAGGGAACGGTTCTAAACTTTCTGTTAGCATCATCAATGAAAAATCTCAGGTTCTCAACTGCCATATCACAATCGCTGACCTTAATATGATTTTTGTAGCTTCTTTTGTCTGTGCTGCCAATCTAGTAACTGATAGAAGATTCCTTTAGAAAACTCTTAATCTTCTGAACCCCAATAATGAACCATGGATACTGGTTGGCGACTTCAATGTCCTTCTGCATGTCAATGAGTTCAGAAGATGCTTATTGATAAGTGCTGAAAGATGCTCATTGCAGCCCTTATCCTTGCATATGTTAGCACCTTAATCTATCTTTACTCATCTTTTTAGTTTTAATTTGTTTTATTGTGTTAATAAGGCTTAAACGGGCTAAATCCAATGCCTTAAAGCTTTTGGGAGGATCAAATGGAGTCTTGGCAAAGAAGGGCAGAAGTGTAGAAGTTACTGTTCCCTGTGACTGATCACATGGAACTGTGATCGGTCGCGTTGCGATTGGTCACATTCGCGGCAGATTGTTTATAAAGTCAGATTTGGAGCTCTCTTCAAACCAATGGGCGGTGCATGAACTGTATGATCCTTGGGCCGAGTTCTGACCATCCTAGAGCCAAAAATCTGAGTATCTATGGAGGATGAAGCCTCCTTCGGAAGGGGATTCGGATTGAAGAGGATTTGGGGCAAGGCTTGGGACTTTCTCTCTCTAGACTTCCTCTCTTCCACCATTGAAGATCTTTGGCTGTGCTTGGAGATGGTGATTGGAGCGTTCATGATCATCTCATCGTTCTCCATGGCTAGCTAGTTCTTCTCTTAGGGCTTGGATGAAGCCCCAAGCCAAGTATTGTATCATGCTTTTCAATTTGGGGATTATTTGTGTATATTGTTTAACCTTGTGAATTATACTTGGTTGTACCAAGATCAAATGTGCTTAATGCTTTAATCTATCTTCTTTTGATCTCTACATTGTCTTATGCATTGATTGGGGTTGATTGATCTCAACATCTTCACTTTTTGTAGTTGTGTGGGTGATGGTTAAATAATGGTGCTTAATAAATGTATTCGCATTTGATTTGATAATTCATGGTTAGATTTGATGGGTTGTGCTACAACATTAGAGTAGAAGTAGGTAGGTAGACAATTCATGCTTAGCTTTGATGAGTTATGCTTGTTGATGCAATATACATATTCTCTTGACGATGATTGTATGCTTGTAGCCACAATTTTTAATTGCACAAGTATTTTTCCCAATTTGATTGCAAAGGTACAATTACAAGGCGTAGAGGTTGATTCCATGACCTAAGTTTCTTAATATCTTCATTCCGTTATCCATTTATCAATTCTTTTATTTACTTTACTTTAGTTTGTTTAGTTGTAATTAGGATTTTAAACAAACTCCCTTTTCTATTGAATCACTTGTTCACTAATTGTAAATTGAATCAAGCCGCTAGTCCCTGTGACGATCCCTACTCACTGTACTATATAGTAGTAGTGGTTTTATAAATGTAAAATTGACTTCCAAAGCTTCCAAAACCACATTCATATTGACCTTGTGAAGCGACCTCTCACGAGCCTCTTCAGTTTTTGGCTCCGTTGCCAAGGACTATGGTGCAATTGATTTAATTTAACATTAGTGATCATTTCATGGTTAATTTAGGATTTGTGTATATATTTTGCTTATTATTTGTTTTTGTCCTATTCTAGGTATTTGATCGAGAGAGGAGCAAGCTTGGGAATCATTGATTTGCTTGGGACCTTTGTGAGTCTATCTTGAAATCTTGAACTTATAATTGTGCACTTTCTAGTTTAGTTTTGTTTCTGTTTTGGATAGTCCTTGTCTTGGCTATCATTGCTTTTATTTTGTTTTATTTTTCTTGTTCAAGCATTGGTCCTTGTCGTGGCCATTTATTTTTTATTTCATTATGTTTGATTTGAGGAGGATGGGATCATCGTATGTGGAGAAATTGTTGTTGTTGATGTTGTGGTTGTTGATACTTTGATGTGCTTTATTGTGGTGTATGCTTGGTAGAAGGTCCCTTCATATAGGAAACCTCTTCTCTCTAGCAATCACTCTCTTATTCCAATGGCGGATAATAATGACACGCATCAACCTCATCATGAACCACATTCTTTGCCTAATCCTCCACCTATTAGATTTTTCATAAATAATTTGGAAGATTTGAGATTCACAGGGATTTTTCACACCTGGACTAATAAAAGCTTTAGCTGTGCCAACATATCCAGAAAGCTTGACAAAGTTTTGACTAACCATGCCTGGAATTCCCTTTTTCCTCTCCCAGAATGTAATTTCCTCCTTCAGGGAATATATGACCACTCTCCTATGATTCTCAAGCATGGTGATTTGGCTCCTAGAAGTAATCTCCCTTTTAGATTCTTCAATTTCTCGTCTCTTAGTAGTCAGTTCCTGCCTATTGTATCTCAGATTTGGTGTCAGGAAATCCATGGTTGTAAAATGTAGAGGGTTGTGCGGAAGCTGGGAAGGTTGAAGCATCCCCTCAAGCTTATCAACAAGAATGACTTTAGTCACATTTCTTCCAGGGTTGTTTCTGCAAGGGATGAATTTTCCCTCTGTCAAACTAGTCTTGACCTTGACCCTTTGGATTCAGACCTGAGGCTCAAGGAAACAGAGTTATCTAAAGTGTTGTCTGAGCTTATCCTTGCTGAAGAGGTGTTCTAAAATCAGAAATCCAAGATATATTGCCTCAAGGAGGGGGACCAAAACGCAGCTTATTTTATGAATTTCAAGCATAGCAAATAGGAAGAAAATCACCTCTCTACAGCTGTGATGGCATCTCTGTGGAAGGCAATGGCTTAAGGGATCCTTTCATCAATCACTTCCAATCTCTGCTTGGTAAGACACATCAAGGTTACACAGGTATGATTCCTCTCTCTCAATTCTTTACCTAATCAGTTCATACCCACCCACCTTGTGCCCAGCTTAACCTCTGTACCAATTGACCTTGAGATTCAACAATGCCTTTTCTCATTCCACCAATTCAAGGGTCCTGGACCAGATGGCTTGAATTCTTGTTTCTACAAGAATACCTGGCCTATTATAGGTAATGAACCACTGGTGCTATTAAAGACTTCTATTAAAGACTCCCCCCCCCCCCCCCCCCCCCCCCGGCGGGGCGAGTCAATGATTTTAAGCCTATCTCCTGTTGGAACATCATATACAAGTGTATTTCCAAATTGATAGCCCTTAAACTGTGTTCAAATCATGAGAGAGACAGTAACTTGTATATTTTACACAAACCTTAATAAGCCTATGTAGGCTTATATAAAGAATACATGTCTAACTTAATAACACAAGGGCCTACCAACTATATGTAATTACATAATGACCCAACATATATATATATATATATATAAAACATTTCTAACACTCCCCCTCAAGCTGGAGAATATATATCAAATAATCTCAGCTTAGAACAGATAGTTCTTAACCTGTTATGACCCAATGCTTTGGTAAACATATCAGCTAATTGATCTTTAGACTTCACGAATGGAGTAGAGATGCTCCCACGTAATATTTTTTCTCGAATGAAGTGACAATTAACTTCAATATGTTTGGTCCTCTCATGAAACACAGGATTTGATGCAATGTGAACTGCTGCTTGATTATCACAGAACAATGGAGTAGGAGCTTCAACTGTCAACCCAAGTTCTTTTAGAAAATGTTGTATCCATGTCAACTCACTAGTGGTATGGGCCATTGCCCTATACTTAGCTTCAGCACTAGATCGAGTTACCACCGTTTGCTTTTTACTTCGCTATGTAACAAGATTTCGTAGTAGATCTCCTATCTGAAGGAGAACCAGTCCAGTCGGCATCTGTAAAACCTTTCACCCTGAGATGACCATTTGATTTATATAGTAACCCAAAACTTGGAGCTTGCTTGAGATATCGGATAATCCAAAGAACAACAATCCAATGCGGCATTCTAGGGGCTCCCATGAACTGACTTACAACACTAACTGCATATGAAATATCAGGTCGAGTGATAGTGAGATAAATTAATTTCCCAACAAGGTGACGAAATTTGCCCGGGTCATTAAATAGGTCACCCTTATTAGACACAAGTTTTATATTTGAATCCATTGGAGCATCAACCGGACGACCACCCAACATACCTGTTTCTTCTAATAAGTCCAACACATATTTTCGTTGGGATAAACTTATACCTTTCTTGGATCTAGCAACTTCAATACCCAAGAAATACCTAAGTTTACCCAAGTCTTTAGTGTGGAATCAATATTGCAGAAACAACTTCAACTTGGCAATGCCTTCAGAATCATCACCTGTGATCACAATATCATCTACATATACCACAAGATATATGAAGCCAGCTTTAGTGCGCTGGTGAAATACCGAATGGTCGGTCTGACATCTGTTAAGACCAAATTTTAACGCCGCCTCAGAGAATTTTCCAAACCAAGCCCGTGGAGATTGTTTCAATCCATACAGGGCCTTTTTAAGGCGACAAACAGTGTGAAGATACTCCCCCTGAGCAACAAACCCAGGTGGTTGCTCCATATAAACCTCTTCTGCTAAGTCACTATGCAAAAAGGCATTTTTAATATCTAACTGAAATAGAGACCAATGTCTATTAGCAACAAGAGAAATCAAAACACGAATAGAAGAAATCTTAGCAACGGGGGCAAACGTCTTATCATAGTCAATACCATAAGTCTGAGTATAACCTTTGGCAACAAGAAGTGCTTTTAAACGCTCAACAGACCCATCTGGAAGATACTTCACAGTATATACCCAGCGACAACCAACAGGTTTGGCACCTGGAGGTAATGGAACAAGATTCCACGTGCCATTTTGATGCAAAGCATCCATTTCATCTTGCATGGCTTTCCTCCAGCCTGAATCAGACAAAGCATCCTGCACAGTCTTAGGAACAAATGTAGTAGACAGCTAAGAGGGAAAACATGAGAAGGATGGTGATAAGGAATTATTAGAGACATAATGATCAATAGGATAATTAGTGACACACGAGCTGGTACCTTTACGAAGTGCAATAGGCAAGGAATCAGACATAGTAGATGGTGTTGGATCCAAAGACTTTGAAGATGATGGAGGAGGCACGACAACAGATGGCTTTGGTCTTCGAGTGTACACCTGTAACGGGCAAGCGAAGGAGATCTAGGTTGAAGAGAAAGTAAGGGAAGAGGAACCGCAGGAAGAGGCGACTCAGGAGTGATATCAAGAAGTGAATCATTATTTGAAAAATATGGGATGGACTCACAAAAGGTTACATCCGCGATAATAAAGTACCGTTGAGAAATAGGACTATAGCAGCGATAACCTTTATGAGAACAAGAGTATCCAAGAAATACACACTTTGTAGCACGTGGGTCTAGTTTATCAAAACCAGGACCAAGATTGTGGACATAACATTAACATCCAAAAACTTTAGGAGGAAGAGAAAACAAGGGAGAATCAGGAAATAAAATAGAATATGGAGATTTGCCATCTAATACAAATAACGGTATACGGTTAAATAAGATGACAGGCAGTAAGAACAGCATCACCCCAAAACCGTTTAGGCATACGCATATGAAACAACAGAGCACGGGTTACTTCTAAGAGGTGTCTATTCTTACGTTCTGCAACTCCATTTTGTTGAGGAGTATAAACACATGAATTTTGATGAATAATTCCTTTATCACTAAGATATGTATCAAAGGGGGTTGAAGAATATTCCTTAACATTATCAGAACGTAGAATACGAATTAGGCATCCAAACTGAATTTTGATTTCCTTTCGAAATTTTTGAAAAATTAAAAATAACTCTGAACGATCTTTCATTAGAAACAACCAAGTCAGGCAAGAATAATCATCCACAAATGTCACAAAATAATGAAATTTCTTGATTTAAGAATGCTTTATTGGACCCCATACATCTGAATGAACCAAATGAAAAGGACTAGAGACACGATTATTAACCCTAGACTTGAAAGACACGCGATGGTGCTTACTAAGTTGACAAACTTCACATGACAATAATTTCAAATGACTAAGACTAGGAACTTGATGCTGCAAAACTTGAAGTGACGGGTGACCAAGACGACAGTGCCACTGGAATGGAGACAGAGAAGACTGAAGAGCCACAGGATAAGGTTCCAAATCAAAGAAATATAAGCCACCAGCTTCATACCCCATACCAATCTTCTTCTTCGTCTTGAGATCCTGAAACACACAAGAAGTAGGATAAAATGTAACAGAGCACTGAAGAGATTTAGTAAGCTTACTGATAGATATTAAATTAAAGGGAAACTGAGGAACATATAAAACAGACAAGAGAGACAAGGAATCACTAAGTTGAGTTGTCCCCAAACCTGAAACCTTAGTGGATGAACCATTAGCAAGAGTAACACTTTGAGAAGGAGGTACATAATTAAAATCATACAGGAGAGAAGAACATCCAGTCATATGATTGGATGCTTCAGTGTCTATGATCCAAGGACTGCTAGTGGAAGACAATAGACAGGTGCGTGCAGTACCTGACTGGGCAAAGGTAGCCGTTGAAGATGAATTAGATGCTTGCTTTTAAGACAAAAACTTAGTATACTCATCATGTGGAACAGGGACCGTATCTGATTCAGCTACGTTTGGAGATCCAGAAGCAACATCATTCGGAGAGGAGGAAACTTGATTTGCATAACTAGATGGTTTGCCATGAAGGTCCCAACAAAAATTCACAGTATGATTAGAAAGGCCACAGTGAGTACATTTTCGTGATTCCCTGCCACGGCCACGTCCTCCCCGTGAATCACGACCATCATGTGTGGAGTGTCCCCCACGACCTCCACGGTAAGCATTATGGTCACCTTTTGAAATTACCAATGTTGAACGCTCACCACTCTGCCCAGTATTCAAATTTGAGGTGTCATTTGCAAGTGTAGCGCGCTGAAGTCGAGAAAACACATCAGCAAGAAATGGACGTGTGGGATTGCCCAAAATCTGTGATCGAAAAGACTCATATGCTGATGACAAACCAATAAGAAAACGGACAACATTAAAGTCCTCACGTTGTTGTTGCATACTTCGAACATCAGCAGTAATGGGCTGATACATATTCAACTCCTCACAGACTCCCATAACTTTAGAATAATACTCTTCTATATTGTGATCACTTTGTTCAAGATTGAAGTATTGCTTACAGAGCTCATAAACACGAGTGATATTACCTGTCTCAGAATACAATTGCTACAATCTGTCCCATATCTCCTTGGCAGTATGCAAATAAAGTAAAGTGGAACTGATTTGGGGTTCAATACTGTTTATCATCACAGAGATGATCTGAGTATCTTCCTTTTCCCATGCATTAAAAGAAGCATCAGTTTCCTTGAGTTTATCTGTAGTCAGATGATTACCAAGACCTCTACCTTTGAGAAAATTTTTAACAGATTTAGCCCACAGTATATAATTCTTCCCATTGAGTTTAACTGAAGTCATGGGAGAATGAAGACCGGATGTGGGAGAAATCAATTCGGAACTGGACGTCATGTTGAACCCAGCAAAACAGAGAAGAAAAAGAAGCAGAAATTGTATTTTGGCTGGATCTAGCGAACGGGCAGGATCTGGGCAAACGGGCCGGGTCTGAGCGAACGGGCCGGATCTGGGCAAACGGGCCGGATCTAATTCGGGCTGGATCTGAAAACGAGTTGGTGAAGAAACCGGGTTCCAGTAGACCTGGTTTGGGCTACCTTACTCTTGCAGCCAAACAAGTTTGTTCTTCTTTACAAACCCACAGATGCTGACAAGAATGCAGCGGCAATAACAGCGACGAAGACAACTCGCAGACGCTGACAAGCACGCGGCGACAGTGACGGTGACCTAATCAACACGCAGCGACCTAATCACGAGCAGAGATGGTTCGCGATGATGGAACCTCTGCAACTTGTGTTAGCCAAGGCAGCCACCGGAAATTGATAAACCAAACAGAGAGCTTCAGATCTGAGAACAGCGGACGAGAAGCTTTGAACTGAACGATGGACAAGGGGCTCTAAACATCAGCGACCAACCAAACCTCGACCAACCTCCGGCACAGAACAGGATTCCACGACTCCACTAATTCCACCTCGATCGCAATTCCAATTTGTACCACAAACAAAATTTCAGTTTCTAACACCCACGATTTTGCACAGCTCTGATACCATGTCCAAATCATGAGAGAGAGAGGGAGAGAGAGAGAGAGAGTAACTTGTATATTTTACACAAACCCTAATAATCCTATGTAGGCTTATATAAAGAATACAAGTCTAACTTAATAACACAAGTCTAACTTAATAACACAAGGGCCCTACCAACTATATGTAATTACATAATGACCCAACATATATATATATATATATATATATATATATAAAACATTTCTAACAAACTGCAACCAGTTCTACCTTTTATCATTAGTCCAAACCAAAATGCCTTTGTTAGGGGTCGGAGCATCCATGAGAACACCTTCCTTGCACATGAGCTTCTGAATGGATACCATAGGCATTCTCCCTAACCTAGTTGTGCATTTAAAATTGATTTGAGGGAAGCATTTGACACCATTCACTTGCACTTCATCATTGATGCACTGTTTCTCTTTAAGTTCCCATCTTGTTCATCCATTGGATTAAGCCTTGTATTACCACTGCTTCCTATTCCATGTCTTTAAATGGTGAATCGTTTGGTTTCTTTAAGGGTAGGAGAGGAATTAGGCAAGGTGATCCCATCTCTTCCCTCCTTTTTGTCATTGCTATGTAGGTGCTATCCTCCATTATTACCAATCACATTTCCAACTCCCCATCCTTCAAATTCCACTGGAGTTGTAACAAGCTGTCCTTAACTCACCTGGTATTGCTGACGACATCTTGCTGTTCTCATTGGCAACCCCCAATCAGTTCAAGTCCTTTACAATGCTCTGTGTGTTTTCTAGGCTTTGCATTAATCATACCAAGGGTTCTTCTTTCCTCTATGGGGTTCATCCTGATGACCAAACTGCTATACACACCGTCCCAGTTATGTACTTGGCCTTACCCTTGACATCTTCAAGCTCTCTCAGCCAGGGACTGCAAGACCATGGTAGACGGAATTACCAATAGGGTTGGGAGTTGGACAGCTAGGTACCTCTCCTATGCAGGTAGATCAGTCCTGATTAAGGCCATTTCAATTGCTATGCACTCCTATTGGTCTCAGTCCTTTATTCTCCCCAATAAGGTCATTGATCAGGTTAATCAAAAATTGAGAGCTTTCCTTTGGACTGGTCATGATATGAAGAAGACTGGGGCTAAGGTTGCTTGGTAAAGTGTCTGCATGCCTAAAGTTTATGGTGGCTTTGGTTTTCCAGGCCTTGACCTTGCAAACAGGGTTGCTAACCTAAAGCACAGTTGGAATTTATTCTTCTGCAAGCACAGCAGGTTGTGGTCCTCTTGGGTTCAAATATCTTATCAAAACCAAGAGCTTCTGGAGTATTAAGCCCTCTTCTCTCAGTTATGGTTTTTGGAGGAGGCTGCTGAAGATCAGAGATATGGCTAGACGTTTGATAAGGCACAGGGTTGGTTGTGGTACTGAAACCATGTCATGTTTGGACTATTGGACGCCAAATGGTCCCATTATCAACCAGCTAAACTCTGAAGAGGTGGCTATGATCCATGAACTTCACTCCACTGTGGATACCATTATCTCCTATAATCAATGGCACATTTCACTTAACACAACATCCCATACCTCCATACACCTTTATTCACCAACCAGCTTCTCTCCATGACCCCACCTAATTCAGATAGAGACTCCATTCAATGGATTGCTTCTCCCACATATTCCTTTTCTTTCTCCCTAACCCTCTCTTACTTCTCACCTCCTGCACCTTTAGTGCTTGGTCACACATTATATGGTTTAAGTATCATGTACCCAAGTGGAGCTTCATCACATGGCTTGCTCTAAAGGGAAGATTGAGAACACTAGGCAACCCTGCTATGGCTAACCTTCATTGGCCAAATGCCTATCATTTTTGTTTGTCAAAGCTGAGTCCATGGACCATCTATTTTCTCAGTGCAGTTTCACCTCCATCATTTGGTTGTTTTTTGCTTACGACGCTGGCTTCTCCCCTCCAGCCACTAGCTGGTTCAACCTTTTCAATTGGTGCTCCAGCAACTGGTCTGGTAATGCAAGTTCATCCCTTCTTCGTAAGCTGATCTTCACTGCAACTATGTACTTCATCTGGATTGAAAGGAATGACAGGGCTTACAGAGGCAAGGCTTCTTCTCCTCAGTCCATTATCTGTCTGATTGGGAAGGCAATCAGTAGTAAACTTGCATGTCTCAAACTCTTGAATGCTGCCATTCTTAGGTAGACTGCCACCCAGGATGACCTGCTCTCCCATCTAAGCAGTGAGAAAGCCTGGTTGGTGGAAAATAGATGGTTAATGGACTCTTGATTTTGATGTTGATGGTGCTCCTTATGACCTCTGTAATGAGATCTCACGTCTTCTTCCCTTTTGAAGGTTCTCTTTTTGTCTAGTTGCTGCTGCAACTTGCTCCCTATAGGCCCTGGTTGCTCCTTTGAGTTCATGTACAGTTCTTTCTTTTTGTTTGTAATACTTACCCAATTTACCCGATTAATAATAATAATAATTAGTATAAGGAAAGAATAATGAATTTTAAGCTGTGGTCCATGGGTCCCCCCTTCAATCCATCCAGTGGTGGAAGACCTTCCCATTTGGTTCAAAGTTTTCGGCTCTTTTGTCAAGATTCACGAGGAAATTGACAATTGAATTATTCAGCTGTGGGTACCCATTTGGAAAAAAGAAAGAATACTGAATTTTCAGCCGTGGGTCCTCCTTCAATCCATCCAGTGGTGGAGGAACCTTCGGCTCCCCATTTTGTCAAGGAAATGAATGGATGTCCTTTGAAAACAGATCAGAAGACATCACACCTTCCATCTTGACCAACAAGCACTCAAAGGAGTTATTGGACTTGCCATGGTTCAAGCTAGCTTAATAACTCTTCTTCTAATGTATGTTCTCATATTTTATTGTTCTTGTACTATAGAATTTTGCACTGCCATAGACACAGTTACATCAACTCAACCCATCAATGACCCTGAAGCTATAGTCACCAATGGTGCCACCTTTAAGCTGGGATTTTTTAGTCCTGTTAATTCTACTAATCGGTATGTTGGTATCTGGTACAACGACATCTCTGCCAAGGCTGTGGTATGGGTTGCCAATAGAGATAAACCTCTGAATGACTCTTCTGGGAGTCTGACAATATCCAAGGATGGCAATCTTCTAGTCTTGGATGGACAGAAACAGATTGTTTGGTCATCAGCTGTTCCAAATGATTCGGTGAATTCAAGTGCCCAGATTTCAGATTCTGGGGAACCTTATATTGTGAGATGACTCCAATGGAAACATAATATGGGAGAGTTTTGAACACCCTTCTGATTCTTTCTTGAAGGAAATGAAAGTTAGTGCCAACAAGTTTACAGATAAGAAGACTCAGCTGACCTCATGGAAAAGCCCTTCAGATCCATCCAGTGGAAGGTTCACTTTTGGCTTAAATACTCTGAATATTCCAGAACAATATATATGGAATGGTAGTCATCCATATTGGCGGAGCGGACCATGGAATGGGCAGACTTTTATTGGCGTACCTGAAATGGTTTCTGTGTACTATAGCAGATTTGAAGTTGTAGATGAGAAAGAACAAACCGTATCATTAAGCTATACTTATGCGAATGAGCATTCTTTGTTTTACTTTGCCTTGAGTTCTGATGGAACTCTAAGGGAGAAGTACCTGGAAAAAGGAAAGGATACTTGGGGAATTGGGGGGTGGGTTCCAGCTAGTGAATGTGAAGTTTACGGCAAGTGTGGTCCATTTGGGAGCTGCAATGTGCAGTGTTCACCAATTTGCACATGTTTACAAGGGTTTGATCCAAAGGGTATGGAGGAATGGAGTAGAGGAAATTGGACCAGTGGATGTGTAAGGAGGAGACAATTGCAGTGTGAGAGAAACAACACTAGTGGTGGAAAGGGCAAAGAAGATGGGTTTCTGAAGCTAAAGACGGTGAAAGTGCCGGTCTTTGCTGAGTGGCTATTTGCTTCAGAAGACAACTGCAAAAGCCAGTGCTTCAATAATTGTTCTTGTATAGCTTATGCATATTATAGTGGCATTGGTTGTATGCAGTGGAGTGCAGACTTAATTGACATACAGGAATTTTCCTATGGTGGGGCAGATCTTTACATTCGCGTGGCATATTCAGAGCTTGGTAATTTTTTTCATCATCCATAAAAAAATTAAAATAAAAATAATAATAGTACGTGCTTCTAATAATCCTTTTTTTGCTTCTGTTTCTTTTACTTGATGATTCAGAATAAGCAAATATCACTTGAATTTGAACCATTGCATATACTAAACATGTTAGCCACCTGACATCTGTACTCTAGTTTAGAAAATGCATCAGTCTATTTTAAATTTTAATAGCACAAGTGTAATACTTTTTCCCATTTGCCAACAGAAAAAGAGAGCTATGGAAATTGTCTAAATTCTCAATTCTTTAATCCATATTAACTCAAGTACTCTCTCAAAGTTTGTTTTGTATTACAGAAAAAAAAAAAAGAGAAGCATAAAACTAGTTATCGCAGTTGCAGTGGTGCTTATAGTGTCATTAACAGTTGCAATCTGTATCTATCTTTCATGGAGGTGGATGACTAGACGACAAGGTATATTGTCCATTGAAATTAGTTCAAGAGATTAGCACATGTTTTCTGTTGTTATATATATTACATATTACTTAATTATGAATCAGGAAGGAAGAAATTGATTCAGAAAAAAAGTGAGAAGTTGCTACATAAAAGAGGGGAAGTGAATCCTGATCGTTCGAATCAAAGCATGCTTGGAGATAACCTGAACCAAATTAAATTTGAAGAGCTACCTCTATTCAGTTTTGAGGAACTGGCAATTGCAACAGACAAATTTCATTTGGCCAATAAGCTCGGGCAAGGTGGTTTCAGTCCAGTGTACAAGGTAAGCTTGTTCATCTGGAGCTTTACGCTTTACTCATAATAATAATAATAATTTCATCTTTATTTTCAGGGAAAATTGCCAAGTGGACAAGATATAGCTGTCAAGCGGCTTTTGAGATCCTCTAGACAAGGGTTGGAGGAGTTTATGAATGAGGTTGTGGTAATTTCCCAACTCCAGCATCGCAATCTTGTTAAACTCCTTGGCTGCTGCATGGAAGGAGAAGAAAAGTTGTTGATCTATGAATACATGCCAAATAAAAGCTTGGATGCATTTCTTTTTGGTTAGTTCATGATAATGTTGTTTATGTTATTTCTAGTTTTTTCAATTTCATAACCTTAACATCAGCAGGAACTTTTTGTGTTGAGACGACATAATGCCTTTCCTTTTGTAGTCTTTAGGAACACACTGATCGTCTAAAACTATAATTTGTCTCAACAACAATTTTATTCTCCCTACAACTTTAACCTACTTTTTTTTTTCTTCAATATTCTTTCAGATCCAATCAAGCAAAAACTCCTTGATTGGAGAAAACGTGCCAAGATTATTGAAGGGATTGGTCGAGGCCTTCTTTACCTTCACAGGGATTCCAGATTAAAGATTATTCATAGAGATTTAAAGACAAGTAATGTTCTATTAGATGAAGATCTAAATCCAAAAATTTCAAATTTCGGCATGGCAAAGATTTTTGGAAGCAATCAAGATCAAGCCGACACTAGAAGGGTTGTTGGAACATAGTAAGTAGCCTTTGCTTTGTCCGAAATGATAAATCATTCGTGTTATAATCCTTCTTTCTCATGGGATAGTTCAACTCAAATAATTTTACTATTTGGGTTGTAATGACACAATGGAGTGGCTATATGTCCCTGAATATGCAATGGATGGGCGATTTTCGGAAAGATCTGATGTCTTTAGCTTTGAAGTTTTGTTGTTAGAGATTTTAAGTGGGTGAAAGAACATGAGCTTTTATCACGATGAGCACTCTTTAAGCCTTCTAGGATTTGTAAGTTCGTTCACCTGAACTGTTGCCCCTGTTACTCTATAATTCCTTTTAATCTTTCTAATTTCAGCATTTCTTGGTTGTGTTATTGTGATTGGTGTCCAGGCATGGAAGTTGTGGAATGAAGATAGGATTGTAATGCTAATAGATCCAGCCTTTACTGAAAGAGAGATTCTCCCAAATAAAAGCTCTTCTCAACAGAGCCATAAGAGTTGTTCTGCGAACAATGTCACTGTTACAGTCATTGAAGGCTGTTAGCATGTATGTATTCTTTTGCTTGTTTCGTTCCTAATGTACACTGCAATTGAATGTACAAAGTAAGTTTTGTTGTTGTCATTGTTTCAGTTTTGTTTTGCACATTGTTGTTGTCATTGTTTTTCAAAAGCCAGCCTTTGCCTTGATCCATTCATGTTGATGGTTTTTGGAGAAAACCTATTTCTATGATTCATCCAAGGCTTCCAATCTTTGGGTCACTCAGACAACTTCTTACTTTGCATTTCATATGAAAAACAAGCTTTCAAATAACTGGTCCAATTCCATGCATCAAAAGGTGATTCTTGGAAGCTTCAATTCCTTTTGTAAATGGTCGTCTTCATGTTATATATTTAATAAAAAGACTGCATGAAACACATTGCTACTCCATGGTTGATTCATTTTTCTTGTAGGTCTTATTCCTTGAGTGGTTTTCTTTATTCAGAAATTTCTTGCCAATGTTGTTTGGATTTGCAAACATGGGAAATATTATTTGATTTTATTTAATTTAATTACTTTCTTTGATAACTCTAAATTTCGTGGGCAACTTGAGTAGTCTTATTCTCTCAACAATTTGACAAGTCAATAATAGAAAATGCGTGTGTGGCTGAGTTTTTTTTCCCCATTGAGGACGTTCTAATCATAACTGATTCACGAATGGACATGTCGACATGCCCTTATGATAAATTTTTCGCCCGCTAAAAAAGAAAAATTTTAGCAATTTTTTATATGGTCCTGAAAATAATTAGCATCTAATTTGCTCCTATGGTTATTTAGAATTTGTAAACTTTAAGGAAAATGATAAACATAATGAAAGTTATCTCATGAATTTTATCTTGAAAAATGTGGCAGCAACTTTGTTTGTCACGTTTTATTTTTTTTCTTTTTTGAATCCATATTGGAAAGAGTAGATATAGACTTATTTAGGAAACACAGCTCTCTATATGTCTGGGAGGAAAAAAATATGATACCCATAGGCGTAAAACGAGAGTGATTTTGAGAGGTAAAGGATTAATTAATACACCTCACGAATAAATTTCATGATTTGAATCTTGAATGATTTGTGACTATCTCTCATATGCCAATATATATATATATATATATATAGATGGCATAGCATACATGAAATATTATGTCGTGTTCAAGAATTTATTAGAATTAGATCAATTATTTTTATGTTATGTTTGGAAACTTGAATTTGAGATTTGAGGCATGTTAAAATTTTGAACTAAAATTTTTTCAATTTTAAATTCGAAGTGTCGGTACAATATTCCCAAACACTAGTGTCATTTCAATGCTTAATCGTGAAATTCACTGTCACTGCTTCTAAGCAAAAGTAGAAAGAGATGTGCTGTGAACAATGCCAGAGATACAATTATTAAAGGCCGATTAACATGTTAATTCTTGAAATTGTTTTTATTCCCTCATCCACACCCTAATTTCAATGCTTAATGGTATAGTTTTGTTTTAGAATGACTTTGTCAACAATTTTGTAAAAGTCAACTTTGGCCTTGATCACATCAACATTAATCCTTTCTGATTGAAGACGATCCCATGAACTAAGGTATTTCGGAGATGATATCGAATATATAAAAATAATAAATAAAAAAAATTCGTAATTCTAAATAAGAAAGAATCTTATATATACAATATAAAAATAATAATAATAAATCATAATTCTAAATAAGAAAGAATCATATTTCATCAGATTTGATGTACCTCCTCCAATAAAAAGATGTTTTTGTTTTTCAGGTAAAACTTCCCGTTATTGAACTTCCAAACAATATCAACGAGCTCGGTCCGACTTGAAAAGATCTCCATCAGAATCAAGCCGTGGATTAAAATTCATCAACTTGCTCTTGATATATGCTATTTTTCAATCCATGGTTTAAGGCTCCCAAACCATGTTTTTTTTTATTTTTTATTTTTTATTTTTATTTTTTAATAAAATTCTGAATGGATTTGAATTTTTCAGCTTTATTTTTGTTATTTTTTTTAACAATAAATACATATAGTTCAGAAAGAAAATATATATTGACTAATTATTTTGAGTTCCATTGTTGTGTGACATTCTTCAACTCTTGCAAATTGTTCAATAACATGAGAAATAATACGTCCTTACTTTTGAGATTTTTTTTTTTTTTCCATCTAAGTCCAAAATCTTCCACTGATACCAAACTAAATTATATACTCTTTGTTACATAAGATATAATCTCCTTACAAAATTGGACATAAATTTTGAATACAAAGAAAAAAAATACTTTTATTATTTTTTTTAATAAAAAAATAGAGAATTATATATAACGTGTATGTATTATATAAATATGCAAACCATTGATCAAGTTTGAGAATATGAGAGCCCTCCTTTTTATTTATTTTTTAATTTTTAATTTATACGAGTTTGTAGAACAAAAGGACATATTTATTTCTCTGTAAAGTTATTTTTTTATTTCAACTCCAAATGAATGCTTAATCAGAACAAAAGAATTAGAATTGTAATTTAATTTTACATAAATTCTAAAATTGGTTCGAACGGTGTATTTAGAATTGAATTTATTGAATTTTAATTATATGAAATTAAAAGTCCAATTCAATTCTAATTTTGTGTAACCAAATGCATCCTTAATTTATGGTATGCATTCATCCAGAGAAAAAGATCGAAAATAAACTTAATTTTCAGCATTATAGTGAACAGTGACCCTTCTGTGGAATAATCTAGCTAAGATATTTTCATTAGAAAACAAAAACTTATAATTTCAAGGTGTTATCAACACTCCACCACAATTGCCATTACTATATGCATGCTTTTATTATTATTATTATTTATTTTGCAAGGCATCACGGAAGACACTAATTCACGGGACAACTGTGTTTTTATTGAAAATTAAATTTCTATACCAACTGTAATTTTAAATTCAATTCCAAACAACATAGCATAAATCTCAATTCCATATTCATTGATTTTAATATGATTCACCAGAGTAGGATATTTTAAATACAACAAATCTTTCACCCGTGCCTTGCCATCATTTAAAATACCTCACTCTGGTCCAATCTAAAATTGCCTAAACAGATTCCCTTGCCATCATATTTCCAGCCCGAGGGCATCCTTTTTTTTTTTTTTTTTTTTTTTTGGTTTTGTTTTTCTCCAAACACAATTATATACAGTTATGTAACTCACAAAAAATGTGTTATTATTAATAGTTAGGGATTGCAATTTTCCCATCCCGTCCCTAATTGTAAGGGTATGGCAACTGTTTATGCAATATAAAGACAAGTATAAAGAAAAAATGAGAACATGTCGCGGGTTATAGGAAGAGATGGGGTCTGAAAAAAACCAGCCTCATCCTGTTATATATATACGTAGTAAGTTTTTACTAAAGCAACCTAACTTACTCACTCAGGGCTTTCAAATTTTGTTGGTTGCTCTTCAACGGGCTTTCAATTTTTTTGGGTTTTTATTTATTTTGTTATCAAATAATTATTGAATTGCCTACAATAAAAATAAAAATAAAAATAAAAGTAAAATAAAATTTTGAGAAATGGGGCAGGCACGGGTTCATTTATTATGTAATAGACGAAAATGGATTTTGAAAAATCAATCCGACCCGAATATGAGATCGTTATTATTTAAACGGAACTTGTAAAGTCATATCACATCCACGATTACCGTTACTAGTTCATATTATAATTATAAAAATACTCTTTTAACCGGCCACTAAAAAACAAAAATTTTAGCAATTTTTTATTTGGTCCTGAAAATAATTAACATCTAATTTGCTCCTATGGTTATCTAGAATTTGTAAACTTCAAGGAAAATGATAAACATCATGAAAGTTATTTCATGAATTTTATCCTGGAAAATGTGGCAGCAACTTTGTTTGTCACGTTTTATTTATTTTTTCTTTTTTGAATCCATATTGAAAGAGAGAGTAGACATAGACTTATTTAGCAACCGCGGCTCTCTACATGTCTGGGAGTAAAAATATTTGATACCCATAGGCATAGAGAGAGAGAGAGAGAGAGATCTTGAGAGGTAAAGGATTAAATAATACATGAATAAATTTCATAATTTAAATCTTGAATGATACGTGGCTCTCTCTCATATGTCATAGTTTTATATATATATATATGGCATCGCATATATGAAAGATTATGTCTTGTTCAAGAATTTATTAGAGTTAGATCAATTATTTCTATGTTATGTTTGGGAGCTTGAATTTAAAATTTAAGATAAGTTAAAATTTTGACTTAAAAATTTTCAATTCTAAATTCAAAACGTCAGTTTGATGTTCCAAACAAGTGTCATTTCAATGCTTAAATATGAAATTCACTGTCACTGATTCTAAGCAAAAGTCAAAAGAGGTGTGCTATGAACAATCCCGGAGATTCAATTATTAAAGGCCCGATTAACATGTCAATTCTTGAAATTGTTTTTTTCCCTCATCCACACCTTAATTGAATTTACGAAGTACAGTTTTGTTTTACAATGACTTTGTCAATAATTTTGTAAAACTCAACTTTGCCCTTGATCATATCCACATTGATCCTTTCTGATTGAAGACGATCCCATGAGCTAAGGTATTTTGGAGATGATATCAAATATATAAAAATAATAAAAAAATTCATAATTCTAAATAAGAAAGAATCATATATATACCATATATTTTTTTTAAAAAATTATAATTCTAAATAAGAAAGAATCATATTTCATCGGATTTGATGTACCTCATCCAATAAATAGATATTTTTGTTTTTTAAGTAAAACTTCTACCCATTGGACTTCCAAACAATATCAACGAGCTTGGTCCGACTTGAAAAGATATCGATCAGAATCGAGCCAAGGAATAAAATTCATCAACTTGCTCTTGATATATGCTATTTTTCAATCCATGGTTTAAGGCTCCCAAACCACGTTTGGGTTTTTTTTTTTTTTTTTTTTTTAATTAATAAAATTCTGAATGGATTTGAAATTTTCAGCTTTCTTTATGTAGGTTTTTTATTTTTTAATTTTTTTTTTATTTTACAATAAATACATGTAGTTCAGAAAGAAACTATGTATTGACAAATAATATTTTCACAGTAGACTGAA